TCTTATAGAAATATTTGGGATATTTTTGGTTAAATAAAATGTACTCTTCAAATTATGTTGTTTCTTTTAGCCTTTTTAAATATTGCTACTAGAATATTTATGTTACCAATGAGGCTTGCATTACATTTTGATTGGAGAGCAGGGCTCTCCAGGCCAAGGATTAGCTGTTTCAATCTTATTTTCTTATTGGCTCTGTCTTTAGAATGCTTTTTGTTGCTTCTTGCTACTGAACGAGGTAAATTATGGGCTTACAGTGGGTTTTCTATAGATAATTCTGAATAGTTGTTGATTACTCACTTGAGTCCCTGGATGGCCCCTTTCAGGTAGCAAGGCCAACTTCACTTAAAAAGGGTACAACTAGAGACTCAATACCAGGTGATTCCTTGTGACATAAGAACAAAATAAATGCTTCTCTTCCTTCCTTCCAATCTTTTTGGCTAATCTATGTTGAAAGCTAAAGCGTACCCAGCTACCTGGGAGGGACGTTTATGTTCTACTTGTAGCAGTGAGAAATGCACGTGATCTAAAATTCATTTCCTTTACTTTCACTCTTCTAAAATAGGAACAAATTTGTAGCACATTCTGTATTTCTTGGGGAAAGTAATGTTTGACTTTCTCTCAGTTTTGTAAGCACTTAATTTCCAAGTACTGCATTGGTGATAACATGAAAGAATATGGCAAAAATTGAAAGCCACATAATTCTCGTTTGTGATCCACATAATGATTTCTGTAAAAGAGCTCTGGGGATTCTGTCCTGAAATTTTCTCGTAAGATTAAGTGCTTTTTATAATGTTAGCAAGTATGTGAAAAATTGGAATATTTATGTAGATACATCATTTCATAGAATATGAACGTCTAGAGAAGAGTTAATACTCCATATAAGATATTGGTACTATAGACACAGTGGTTAAAATCTTACTTGTCTTGTTAGATTCTGCTTTCAAGTTTCTGATTTGGCTTGATGAACTGGGAAATAATTTTCAAAATAATAATAATTTCCATTCTTTTACTCATGCACTAGACATTTGTTGACCCTCAGCTCTGGTGAGAGGCTTCATGATAAAGCAGGTGCTCAACCACAACATTATTGGCATTTTGGGCTGGATCATTCTTGGTTGAAGAGAGGGCACTGTCCTATGTATAATGTTTAGCAACATCGTTTGTACCAGCAGCATACATTATGACAACCCAAAATGTCTCCAGACAGGGTCAAATATTCCCTGGGAAGCAAAATCATCTCCTCAGTTGAGAAGCATTGATGATAGCAAGAAAGAGCAGATGGGAGTTGGAGGTGGGAGTGGGAGAAAGACCAGGGAAATGGCAGTTGGGATTGAAGAGATGAGTGGATTTAAGAGACATAAGGAGGAAGAATAGAGAAGTCTCTGTGATTGGTAAATTGTGTGGACTGAGGGAAAGGCAGGAGTTTGCAACAAGTTGGGTTTGGCCAACTGGAGAGATTGTGGTGCTATTACTGAGCAAAAAAAAAAAAATAATAATGGAGGATGAAATATGCCAGACAAGAGGAGTCCCATTTCAGATACGGTGGGTTTGAGTGGGGGCTTGACAATGGACCTGTTGTCTAGAAAGTGGGTCCAGGAGTCTGTAGTATAGGAGTAAAGTCTGGACTGAGAGGCAGATTGAGGAGGCCAAGTCTTAGTAGGTGATATCAGGACAGAATTGTCTTTCAAGAGAAGGTTATTCACCTGCCAGAGAAAAGGGTGAGTTGGATATGAACATCCAGTCTGATCGTTTTGTTAGAGATTCTCAAACATTCCACTAAGATGAAGCAGAGAGAAAACTAAAAACCCACTTATCAAAACATTTCAGTATTGAGAGATACTGAATTGAGAGAATGATGGAGGAGGAGGAGAGCTGAAAGAAGAGAGAAAAAGAAATGACATGTAACTCAGGTAAAAGTGAAGAGAGGAAGGTTGCTTATTCATTTACTGTTTATTGAGTGCTATTAACCATTATATGATTTTTATTTCAAAGACACTGGGAAATTCACAGATTCTTGCAACCCACTTTCTTATACCACATTTTAATATGAAAAATTTCAAACATATAGAAGAGTGGAAAAAATTTTACAGCAATAGCATGTATCCATCACCTAAATTATACAATTAAAATTTAAATATACTTGCTTTATTATGTTATCTATCCATATATCCATCCATCCATTAAAGCATCTTAATTTTTTGATGCCTTTTTGAGTAAGTTGCAGAGCTCAGTACATTTATCCCAACTATATTCACATATGCATATTATGAGCTGGAATTCAACATTTGTTTAAAATTTTTTTGATCTACTTATATTATTTTTAAAGTCCATATCTAATTGCCTCTATTGGAAAATGGGTAGCAACTAATTTTACGTACTTTTTTTGTGACCTGTTTGGGATGCTAATACTAAAGACTTTTACTAACAGTTATGCTAGATTAGATTCTTGAATATAGAGGCCATTTCTTTTCTGTATCCTGGTACTTAGTATTTGGCCAGGCACAAGGTAGGATCTCTATTTGTTAAACGCATTTTCTGCAGCTAGAGATAGGATACCCTGTCTTGATCAAATGGAGTTAAGCTCAGGCCATGTCTCAGGCATCTTTGGGATTACTAAATACTGTTTGCCTTCATGATGCCCTTACCAGTCCGTGAAAGAATAAACTATGCAGTCTTGTTTGTTATAAAGAATTTGGAACCTAAATCTATAGGTTCAAGTATTGTCTTTGCTGCTACGTGACCTTGGACAAATCTCTTAGCCTGAACTTATTCATTTATTAAATTGGATTTGAGGGTACCTACCTACATTTGATGCCCACACTGTGAGTTTCCAACTAGCCTTTGCGTGTAGTAGAACTTTGTCACTTGTGACCTGTTCCTGAATTGTCATCTGTTATTTCACATTCAAAGGATGTGAAAGCATCAGCAGTCTTCACTCTCCTTTTCCTCTCTCCTGTCCTCCCTCCTTGCCTTCTTCTCTCCTTTTTATTAATCTCTGGAACTTAAATATATTACAGAAGTAAATAGTAAACAAACAAACAAACAAACAAAAAAAACCCCAAATAGTTCAAAGACGTCTTGTCAAGGAAAGAGCAAAAAAAAAAAAAAAAAAAAAAAATCCACAGTACCTCAGTGTTCAAAGAGGCAGAAAATTCTGAAAGCCTTAGGCAAATTGTGCCCTCATAGAGGGAGCCTACATTCTAGAAGAGAGCAGTCTTGTGAAAGAGGGGGAAACAAAAGGGTTTTAAGCGCTCCAGAACTGTTGAGAGACAGGGCTGCTACCCTGCTAGAGTTATTAAAGTTGATTTCTCCAAGCCATTTACTCAAAAAGACCACCTAAAATGACTGGCTGCCTGATTTTAAATTATCTCTTTATAAGAACATAATTTGAAAAATGCTAGTAGTTATTGCTACATAATACTTTTACATCGAAGATTTATAGGACTGTTTTTCTTTTGTTGTTGTTGTTTTTTAGATAAAAATGGTTGAGGAAAGAGGTTTAAAATGTAGTTCACAATATGCAAGGGAACATTTTTTGCTTGCTGCATTTAAATTGCATCATATAACATGTAGTACTTTTTCCTCCTTTGGGCTTACTTTAAAATACTAACTTGTCCGATAGCTACTCCATATTTTCAAAGTGGTTAATGATGAATTTGCAACTCAAATACTTATAACATTATTGATTAAAGTTGCTTTAATCTCTTGGAGCTTCTTTAGATACCTGATGTTTAAAAATGCTTTTTAAATATGGGTAAATTAATTTCCTAAGTAACAGTGACAAGATTTATAATGAAGGAAATTTTTATATTAATATAGGAGCCAGAATGTTAAGAAACTCTGTTACAGTAAACTGTTACAAACTTTTATAATAGAGGCAAGGACAAAGTTTGCCTTGAAGGGTTTGGTTGGGAAGCAATGGTTTACACCGTAACATCTGATTTCATGTGTTTGTGCCAAGAGTGTTTCCTTTTTGTCTTTTTCCTTTTTATATGCAACAATAGGAGCATGTTTAATATTGATGAGTTTGACCTCCTGGGAATTATAGTATATGTACCCTTTTGGAATACAAATGCTATTTGATTTATATGGTAAATACATAGAATTTTGGAGATTAGCATTTTAATCAACTCTAATCTCCTAGGATTTTTTTTTATTCCCTCACCTTGCCATTTTTGAAAATGCCAAGTTTGAAAAATGAATTTTTGAAATGGCAGCTAATGTTCTCTCACGTAAATAGATGCAAGGTCTGCATCAAACATAAAAGCAGCACTATATGTAGTAACCTTTCCTAAAGCATGTGCTCAAGCACATTAACAGTGTTCAAGATGATCAGGTATTAAAAGAACAATCCATTCAGTCAACAACTATTTATTGAAGAGCCATGTTTCTGCAGGCACGTTGGGGGGAAGGGTGGGTAGTATATATGGCTTCGATATTGTAGCACCTCCAAATTGGAACGTGGCTTGTTTCCCCCCATCTAAAATTCTCTTTTTTTGTTTAACTTTTTTCATCGCAGGTCCCGGAGCTTTGAAGTTCCTTGTGTATCTTCCAGCTGACGAACTTCTTCCACGGGGACAATGCATTCGATTCACACGGTGGAGATGAAAGTCCCCGAGATAGAGCAAACATTTTTCGCGCCCCGCTTCGGTGAGGAGCCAAGCGAGGGCGGAGGGGTCGGCGGCGGCCATTGGGGGGCCAGGCCCGGACTGCGTTCTGCGCTGCCATTGGCTGGCTCTGGGTGCTGCACTGAGCATGTTCGAGCCCCGCTTGCTCTGGGCTGCAGGCACAGGCACTGCAGCCGCGGGAGCAGGCACGCATTGTGCAAAGAGGCGGCAGATGCGAGCAGGGCCAGCCCCACGCGCGTTGGCCTCCTCGCCCAGAGGCTTGCCGGGCCGCTTGACTGGCCCCCGTGCCTACCCCTGTGCGGGCTGGGGGCCAAGGAGGGCCGGCATGGCCTGAGTGTTGGAGGCGCCTCGGCTCAGCGGCGGGATTGCAACATGGGGAACCAGGATGGGAAGCTGAAGAGGAGCGCAGGTGATGCCTTGCACGAAGGCGGAAGCAGCGCAGAGGATGCTGTTGGGCCCAGAGATGTGGAAGCCACAAAGAAGGGGAGTGGGGGCAAGAAGGCGTTGGGCAAGCACGGCAAGGGGGGAGGGGGTGGCGGCGGGGGGGAGCCAGGCAAGAAGAAGAGCAAGTCGGAATCTAGAGCCTCAGTGTTTTCCAACCTGCGGATCAGGAAGAACCTGTCCAAGGGGAAAAGCACCGGCGGCTCCCGCGAGGATGTGCTGGACTCCCAGGCCCTGCAGACCGGGGAGCTGGACAGCGCGCATTCTCTGGTCACCAAGACTCCAGACCTCAGCCTCTCGGCAGACGAGACGGGCCTGTCGGATACCGAGTGTGCTGACCCATTCGAGGTAACCCGTCCGAGTGGCCATGGACCCACTGATGCTGGGGTTGGGGGCAGGGTGGTCTTGGAGGATTTGGAAACAGCCGTGGGGATGCAGGATGGACAAAGGACCAGTTCAGGCTCGGACACGGACATCTATAGCTTCCACTCGGCCACGGAGCAAGAGGATTTGCTTTCAGACATTCAGCAGGCGATCCGCCAGCAGCAGCAGCGGCAGCAGCAGCGGGGCTCCGAGGAGCCTGCAGCGCCCTCCGCAGCCGCCTCCCCCCAGCCCGGGGCCTTCTTGGGCCTGGACCAGTACTTGCTGGGGTCCAGCAGCACAGCCCGGGAGGCCCCTTGCAGTCCTGACCCGGAGCGGGCTCTGTCTGCGCTCTCTGACCTGCCTGGCAGCCTGGCCACCGAGCCCCAGGTGCCTGAGCAGCCACCGCCCCCCAGCGGCCCTGGAGCCTTGGCGATGCCTGGCCTGCCTGAGGGCCAGCCCGCAGCCGCAGCCTCGCCCTCCTCCCCCGCCTTCCCGTTCCCTGAGGCCCCGCCGGGAGAGGGCTCGGCCAGAGCTGCCGGCCCAGGGGCTGGGGACACTGACGAGGAGGGCGAGGAAGATGCATTTGAGGATGCCCCCCGAGACTCTCCAGGGGAGACGTGGGGTCCGGGGGTGGAAGAGGTTCCCCCGAGGCTGGGGGCAGAGCCCGAGGGGGAGCCCAGCAGGCCCGGCGCCCTGGCAGCTGCCTCCCTGCCCAGCAGCCCTGCGCCGAGCCCGCGCTGCTTCAAGCCCTACCCGCTCATCACTCCCTGCTACATCAAGACCACCACACGGCAGCTCAGCTCGCCCAATCACTCTCCCTCTCAGTCCCCCAGCCAGAGCCCCAGGATCAAGAGGCGGCTAGAGTCCTCCCTGAGCCGGGGGCCCAGAGCTTCCCTAGTCTCGGCCGCTGCTCCAGCCAAGAAGCACCGGGCTGATAGCGGCCTCGCCTGCGGCCTCAGCCGTTCAGCCGACTGGACCGAGGAGCTGGGCAGCCGTGCGCCCCCGGCCGGGGGCTCTGCGCACCTGCTGGAACGCGGGGCGGCCTCGGAGGGGAGCGGTGGGGCGCCACCAGTGCAGGCCGCCAAGGTGTCTGGGGCACAGGCGGCTGCTGATTGTTTCCAGAACGTGTTCACAGGTGAGTGCACCCTCCCGCCAGGTTGCCTGCCAATCAGGGCCTTCCGCCCTCACCTGCTCTCCGCGCTCTGAGACGCCTAGACCCGCTTAGGGCATGTCCTGCCTTCTTAGGGGAGTCCTTTTCAGGTCCTGCACACCAGTTCAGTAAAATTTCTTTTTTTCTTTTCTTTTTTCTTTTCTTTTCTTTCCTTCCCTTTCCTTTTTTCTTTCTTTATATACAGAGAGCACAACTTTGTTGTGTCTCTCCTAAGTCATCTCAAGAAAGGGCTCCTCTGTCCATTTCTCCAAAACATGTGCTGTTCTCTATGTCCAGGGTCCCACCAGGCAGATCAACTCTTTTTTTTTTTTTTGGCCTAGTTAGCTGAGCCATCATTCTCTGTCTGTCCTTATCCCCACAGCATTAAAAAGAACAAAATTGTTAATGATTCTTTGACAAGGGTCAATGTTGGAGAAACAAATAATTTATTCCAGTACTATCCAGAGGCGACCTCTGACTGCTCTAATATGTGTGTGTATATGTATGTACGTAATATGTAGTTTCTATTTTGCAGCAATCTGGGTAGACTACTCATAGAAGTTAAGGGAACATTGCTGGGCGCCTGGGTGGCTCAGATGGTTAAGCGTGTGCCTTCGGCTCAGGTCATGATCCCGGGGTCCTGGGATCGAGCCCCGCATCGGGCTCCCTGCTAGGCGGGGAGCCTGCTTCTCCCTCTGCCTCTGCCTCTCTCTCTCTCTGACTCTCATGAATAAATAAATAAAACATTAAAAAAAAAAGAAGTTAAGGGAACATTCCTCTTTGCTGATGCAACCAAATCTGATACATGGTATTAGAGAGTTAATAAATAATGAAATAGAATATTAGAGATAATTTTCTTTTGGCTTTATGTCCAATCAAAACAGGGTATAGCTTGGAGATAGTGAAGGTGAGAAACCAAAAGAACATGTAATCCAACTGGTACCTCTCTTTAGCCTTTGTAATAGATTCTGATGGACACCATAAAGCCCAGCTAAGGGGTTCACTTACTGTGATTAAAAAGCAAGTAGTATAATGAGTTTATCCTTTCTTATAGGCTTCTAGGTCCCAAGGCCTTACCTGAAGTACCCACTGGTAGAGTGACAGTTTGTTTCATGTTCTCTTACTTCTACTCTTTATTATGAAAGGAAATATTGGCTGTAAGAATTTAAGGAGTAGGAAAGAATGAAAATTTATGCAATTACTGGTAGGTTTGTGATAAATAATTGAATGACTAAAAATTTCAAATGTAATTTGAAAAGCTTAACATCCTCTGTTCTATTACTTTAATAAATGGGTTATCTATAAAACATTTCTTAAGTGACATTTCTCAATGGGCATAGCGACTTTGGCTAAATGCCATTAATGTTGTGGTAGTTACTTGTATTACTACATTTTTATTTTCACTTATGGATTACCTTTTATTTTACATTTCTAGATTCTTAAGAGTAGCCTTTTTTATTCACTTTGTTCATTTATTTATTGCTTGCTCCCTTTCCCTCTCTCTTTTTTAACTTCTCCTCCCTTCCCTTTATTGTGTAGGTTAAATTAAAAGTAATGCTTATAGTCTAAAACCCTTCAGATAAATTGTAAAAAAAAAAAAAAAAAAAAATCCCTGAAAGACCATTTTTGAAGGAAGAAGACAGGAAAGTTCTTGAGTTAATTTTGTGAATTTAGTGCTGGTGAGAAATCCTGGTGTTTCCTCTTTACTTAGGTAATCATTCATTTATAAATATATATGTGTATATATATATTTTTTAAAAAAGATTTATTTATTTGAGAGGGAGTGCATGTGCAGGGGAAGGGGGAGGGGTGGGGGAGAGAACCTCAAGCAGATGCCCCACTGAGCACAAAGCCCAGACTTGGGGCTAGATCCCAGGACCCTCAGATCATGACCTGACCAAAACCAAGAGTCAGACACTCAACACACCAAGCCACCCGGGCGCCCCTATAAATATATATTTTTAAATGAAAATATCACCATGATTCACATTATCGCTTATTAATATTAATGGTTGCTCTTTCTATTAGCATTAGACTTTGGATATACATTCATTCCTTAAATTTTACAAATGTATATGCATATATTCTGGTCACCCACATTATACCAGGCAATATGTTAGTGGCAGGACCTACAAAGGTCATTAAATCATGGTTCTGCTTCTCCAGGGTAGTACTCAGGGGCAATGGAGAGGTGTAGTGCTGTCCTCTGGGAGCATCAAGGGTAAAGGGACTGATCTCCTTGGCAGGGGTCAGGGAAAAAGACTTCATAGGAAGATTTATCAGAGTCCTGAAGATCATAGGCCCTAAACAGGTTGAAGATTTGTTTTCCTTAAGAGGAGGAAAAAAAAAGCTTATTCTTGTTATTTGCATTGTATTTTAATTTGCTAAGTATTTCCAAATTTGAAATTTCAGACTCTTCAAGGAGTCCTGTTCAGTAAGCACCTGTTTTCTGTTGGCTGCTCCAGGGAGAATTTTTTACTCTGCAGGGCAAGAGTGCAATGCGAGTTGTTTTAATATGGACATCACCGACTTTGTCTTTGATGTTTGGATACAGCTGGTCAGCGATCAGTGGATATTTGTGTAGCCATTTCCAAATATTTATCTCACCCACTCACTCTCTTTAAAAGAAATGGATAGGTTTAACCTAATCTTGTAACTGGGGGGGGAAATGCAGGTAGGTAAAGAGATGAAATGACTTTCTCAAGGTCACACTGTGACTCATTCAGAGGCAGAGCCAGAAATAGAAGCCTAGTCTACTGATTTAGGTGTGAATGTTCTTGCTTAGTACTCATTTTTGAATGTTTGGTGATATAAGACAACAGAGAGTAAAAACTGTTTATAAAAAATATAGAATTTTGAATCTTCACTTAGGAGATTTTTCAGGTTCTGTTTTTAATAAGGTCAATCCCTTTAATTGTTGAACATCTGGCCTTCCTTGGGCTGCAAGAAGAGTGATTGTTGGTCAGACTGAAGCAGATTCTCTCTGGGCAGCTCTCAGGGAAACTGTTCTTGTGGTGGTATAGTGAATCCAGAAGGACACATGCCCCTGTTTCTCCATTGCCGACTGTTTTCTTGTCATCTGGTATCACATTTGGTTCTTTACCATCCTCTACAGTTTTATGGTGTCTTGGGTATTACCAGAGGCCTGAGGAACAGTGGCATTCTCCTTAGGGAAATTGGTTTTTTTTGGCCTTAATTTTGCATGTCTTTGGATCCATTAATTGCCCGCTGCCTTTGAAGCAGGTGATCATTATATCTATAAGCCTCCATAAACATCTTTTATTTTTAAGCCATAGAATGAGGGTTGTCAGCTCTGCAGAAGGGAACAGATGTTTTTCGCTTTTTACTGCCTTCCAAATGTAGGGAGAAAATTCAAGTGGAAAGAGATCTTCATGGCCCATGTTTGTATTTGTTTGGTAGATATAAAAACATTTAGTGATGATGGAGACCAAAACTTTATTTTGTTTTAGCTGTTAAAAACTGATGATGTTTTAGGGCATTGCACTGAAATATTCCCACAGTTAATTTGTTTGACATACATCTGTTTCAGTGTTGAGTAGAAAAAAATGGCTTCTGAAATTTGAGAGGTTCCTTTGTACATTGAGTCTAGCAGAAGCTTGTTGATGGATTTTTGCAGTTCGTTAAAGTTTGGACATGTAAAATGTTAAATTTGTGATGCCAACTCACTTTTGATAGGAATCTTTCCAAAATCAATTATGTGCTGATCTGTCCTTTTTTAAACACATGGAGTCAAAGTTTAATCTGTTTTAAATGGCTTAATGTCATCTTCAGACAGGTCATTTTTACATGCTGTGAAAACATTGGGGATGCCCTCAACAGCTCATCAAGTGTGCAGGCTGCTGGCTCCCATCTGTCCTTTCTGAGTTTTTGCATCTTTGTTTCCTGACTCCTTCCTTCCAGTCAGCTATTCATTCACAGAGCTTTTTCTCGTCCCCACCCCTCATACTTCTGATTTGATTTTTCTGATCAATTTGTTATCGGTTGGCAAATTCTGTAATAATGATGTCAAGTTATATTTATTACACTTTTACTAGATGCCAGACGCTGTGTGGTGCATTCCGTAATTATCTGTAATCCTTAGAACCGTCTTGAAGTATAGTTATTTATCTCCATTTTCCCAACGAGCTAAGCAAGGTCCAGACAAGTGAAGCAACTTGTCTAAGGGCATTAAGCTAGTAAAAGCTTCATCTAGGGTATGTACTTAGATAAGAAAATCTGTTGTGAACGTGTATAAAATAAAATCAAGTGTATCAGTGAGCTTTTAAATGACTAGCTAATTAGTAAATGGCTTGCGCATTAGCATTTGGATTGTATGACTCTCATTTTGGCTTTTCTAAAGGTTATCTTGATTTTTATATCCCTAGAGCTACTCCACTCTAGGAGTGGAGGTTTTCTTACATAGCTTGTTAAATTATTTAACTGTGAATTTGTGAAGGCCAGTTGCTGTCTTATTTCTAGTGTCAGCATCTGACAGAGTATAGATGTCCTTCATGTCCAGTACATGTCCAATACATAAAGGAAAGTCAGAAATCATCCCTGATTGTATATATAATGCATCTGTCTTTCTATAACAGGAAAGGGGATTATATGAATGCTGTTCTTTTCCCTGTATTTTGACTTACTGGGTTCCATATATCAGAATAGATTTTGGTAACAAAAGCTGGGACTGGAAGCACTGTTCTTAAATCATTTTAGTTTGGTCTGAAACATCCTTTCTCATGATTTCTTTAAGACTATTTTGGATTGAAGTCTAGTACCCCAGTGATGGGTTTTAATGACTGCTTTATGAGCTGAGGACTGGCCTACTTTTAAGCGCATTTAGGCACGAGGATGTAAGCCATGTGTATTTGAAATTGAACAGGTGCTTTTAGAGCTGTTGCTTCCTTCTGATTCTATTAAAAAGGTGCTGAACATAGACACTCAGCTGATGGTACAGCAGTTATTCTAGAAAAATTGGTATCCTA